CTTGATTAAATCCCAAATTTTCTCTCACTTGATTAATCTAAGGGTTATATTTCCACCTTCTCACAATAAAAACTTCTCGCTTGATACGCTCCTTATATATATATATATATATATATATATGTGTATTTATATTTAATATTCCATATCCACCTGAAAACTCTAAGCCAGCCACCTTATAACCTAGAAACTACAGCATACAATTTTATTTTTTTTTAATTGATCGAAGAGGGATAAAAAGAGAAGGGAAGACATACTCCCATGCAGGCTCAACATCTTTGTTCCAGATACCCTGTAGGTTTGCCACCTGGGTCCCAGGACGCGAACAAGAGATTAGAAGATATCGACCATATTGAAACAAAAGCTCCACAAAGGAAGGATCTTCATCAGTTTGAAAAGATTTGACTCTTGCTGAAGTTGGAATGGAGACATCACCTCCCATTTGAGAGATGTTGGTTTGGGAGGAAACCAATTTCCTTCCGTGCAAAACAGATTTTCCTAGAGCAGTTTTGGAGCTTTTAGAGAGTTGCAATGACACACGATGAAAAAGATTTTGATAGTCATCCAAGTGACGTGCATAAAGATCAGCATATGAATTTTTTTTCACAGAATTCATTTTACTGAGGGACTCAGAGGTAGGATCCTTCTTGGAGTCTTCAGGCTTAGTAAATGGGCCATCGAAGGAAGAAGAAGCTGTCAAAAGCAAAATAGCCCAATCTGAGCCTTCAACTCTTAGCTTCTTATCATCCAAAACATGTATAACCCCTTTATTTTTACTAATCTGCATATCAAGAACTGCAGAAAACTGAATTCCCTTTGGATTCGGATCGTCAACTGAATTCACTTTTGGCCGGACCCTCCTGCCAGGACAGCTTCCTTCAATCATTATCTGATTTTGGCCACTTACCCTTGAACTGTGATGCATTTTGCTATCAAAATACACTGTAAATGATAATGACCCAGGTTTGCTCGCTGAAAACCTTGTCACTATGACTTGGTCTGGGTTAGAAGCAAAATGTTCTCTGGTAAATTCTACATCTCCTACAGAGTACTTGATTTTTACTGTTGCAGTATCCAAATCCAGCTCCCTATGATAAGACTCGTTTGAATATGCAAGATGAGAATCATCAAATTCTAACTTGATATCACCAAGAAGTTGGTATACCTTCATATCAAGAAATAACAGTTAGGGGCGAGTGCCAACATTGTACAAAGTTTCTTTAACCACCAACTCCATAATCCAAATGAATACCAAATAAGCACACATTTAGAAAAGGAGGTGGGTGGGGGAGGGAGCTTGTCCTGACTTGAGCGTTGGAGTGCCTTTTGCAGGTTCCAACCCCCTCTTCAGCGTATCGGATTACTGGGTCGAGAGTCTCGTTCGGTCTTCGGACTACTAGAAGACTTAGTGTGCCCTTCAGACAGGTATAGTTACTAATTAAAGTTCTATTTATTCTAAAAGAATAATTGTTGGAAAACTAATTTTAAAAAATTATTTTGAAAACCAAATTTCAAAATCTCATAGTGAATAAATATGTGTATTCAATAATGTAAGCATATATTTTGTAATTAATAAACATGTAATTTTAACAAAAAAAATTATATTTTATTACATTAAGCAAATAACATTATTTTAATATATCGTAAAAGGAGGTGTCGTGTTTTTTATTCAATCTATTTTTATGTTATCACTTATAATCTACTATCAACAAAATATTTTCTTACTCATAAATTGATGTTTATTATCTTCAAAATCAAAATATAAAATCATTCATAAATGGAGACTTTTTTAAGATGCAAAATCATTAATAATAATAATAAAATTAACATCAAAATTTTCTTTACATATTATTTTCAAATAACTGCACCCTTCTTAGCATCGATGATTTCTGAGTAGGTTTTAAATATAAGGGGGAAATGGGAGGCGAGATAAGATTTTCTATAATTTCTTACTCTAACTAATGACTAACGTTAGCCTAGTCAACACTGATAATAAAAAATAAATAAATAAGCATTTCTTAAATTATTAATACTTAAATATATTTTTACTACAACAAAATTTGTTATTAACGATAATTATTTAATGACAATAATTTAATTGTCTCCATATATAAAAATATTAATTACTAATATATAATAACTACTAAAAATATATTTATATTACACTAAAGTTTACTATTAGCGACAATTATTTATTAGAAAAAACTTAAGTCTCACATCGATTAGAGATAAGATAATTAAATAGTATATAAGTGAGTAATAACTATCACCTTACATGTTCATTTTATAGGGTTGACTCCTAATTCACTATTCTAAATTGGTATCAAATCACTCATTATTACCAAATTTAATAGTGTTATAAAATAATTAGAGAGCAACTTTCACCTTATAAATCTCACATTTCTTAAGAGACAAAATAATTAAAAAATATATAAATAAAAGACAACCCTCATCTTACAAATTTCACATCAAGTAGAGATAAAAAAAAATTATATAAGTTATGAATTTAGAAAAGGAAATTATAGGAATAAATTATTTAAAGTAAATGAGACAATTGAAAAAAATAACTTTTAATAACCTTTAAAATGGCTACTAAAATTGCCACTAAAAAAATAAGTTTTTCCGATAATTTAGTAGATCTTTACTAACATTTTATATAAATATTGGTAATAATAATATTAGCGACACTAGATACACCAATATTTATTTAAATACTGGTAAAAAAAATAATAGCCATTTATATGGCCGCTAAATAATAAATTAATTGCCACAAAAAATTAATTTTGGTGTAGTGTTTTAATCTCTATAAAATGAACACTTTTTTTTTTATATTTTTGTAAATATTTTTATTTATTTTTCATTCTTCTAAAATATATAAACATTATTTTTTATCCTTGTAAAATAATTTTTTTTATATATTTTGATTCTTATAATTTTTTTTTTATGTTTGACACTCTAAAATTTAAAATCATAATTTTTTAGTCCCTAACAATGAATTTAAATTATATAAAAAATATTTATTTTAAATTACTTTTAAGGTTAAAATTTTTATATGGTCATTGAAAATTAACATTTTTACTTTGTATATATGGTGGAAAAATTGAAACAGAAAGATGCCTGGTTCATTTTCATTATAGAAACTAGAGTCGTCAAAATGTGCTCTAGTCCATGGGGTAGCCTACCTTGAAAACGGGTTGAGTTGGATAAAAAAATGAAACAATTTATGATGGTTAAAAAAATATGACTCAGTCCACTTTCGACCCGGTCCATCCAGGTTGAGTCCGTGGTGGGCCAGGCTACCCACCTAATCCACTTACCACCCCGTCAATCTAAACTACTAATAATTCACTTAATTAATTATTATTATATATGTATTATTTTAACAATATAACATTTTTTTTATAGATAAAGATAAAATCAATGTTAAACAACATGAAATTACTATAAATTTATCTATTCAAATCTCCAATAAAATTTAATATTGATGTCATGAAATGATTTTTATCTTTTTGTTTTGATTTTTTAAAGTTGTACATTTTTTAATTTAAGTTTAATGTTATATGCGTGATACTTAATTTGATAATTTTTACTTTAGATTAGAGATTATTTTATATTAAAATTTATTTTAAATTATAATTTTATTTTAAAAAATTAGGTAAATTAATGGATCGACTCGTTTATTCCATCAATTCGTGATGGGCAAGGTTGGACTAGGAAATTTTAGACAATAAATTTGGTAGGCTAGACCGAATCAATACACATATAAAGTAAGTTAAGGTAGGCTCGAACTAACAGGTCAGATTGATGCATTTTTGACAGGTGTAATGGAAACTCCTCTTCTTGGGTGTTAGACCTCCGTCATTCTTTCCTTCATCACCTGGACTTTGATTTTTTCTTTCTGTAAGGAATCTCCGTATCAGATAGAGAGATAAGTTTGTTAAAGGTTCAGGGTTGGGTTCTTCTGATAGGACTACACCTTCCTCTTCATCGTTATCGAGTGCCAGATTTCCCAAATTTGGTGGTTCCATGAAGTTTGGCACGTATGGTGGAGTAACAATGTACATAGCAGTGGTTAGGTTAAACTTCTCACAAGGATGAGAAACTTCTCACAATAGAAGATTAGTCCTTTTAAAGTAATATTATTTTCGTTTTATCCTATTAATTATAGTTATCTGCACGGTGATCCTATATCAAATTTTACTTATTTTGTGTTTTGGTCTTTTTTCTATTTTGTTCTCTTGATTTTCTCGTATTTCTATTTTTCTTTAATTCTTTTTAGATTTTTCTGGTAAAGTTAATGGTCAATTTGATGGTAAGGACGAAAATGAAAACAAGTGAGAAAATAAAATTCTAAAAGTTTTATAAAAAAGACTAAAAACAAAAACAATATATTTTACAAGGATAAAAAAAATTATTAAAATTCTTTTTCCTTTAATTTTGTAGAGGAACTAAACTGGATTGCAAAATACCGATTTAATTTGGTTTGAATTCACTACTTTATTACATTCATATGAGTATCCTTTTTATTTATTTATTTAATTAGGATGACTTTTTATTAAAAAAATAAAATCAAAAAGCACCGTAAATGTGTAATCGAGACATGTACGTACGTGTTAATCCAAACCTAGTCTTGGCCCATTATAAGTGTTTTCTTACAGGACCCAATGACCCATTATAAGTTAGTCAATTTTAACATTGATTATGGATCATATTTTCTTATTTGTTCCGTTGTCATGTAGTTTTTTTAGGAAAATACTTTCTAAAATATGCTTTTAAAATAAAATAAAAAAATTTAAAACGATATCTTTTACATAACATGATACTATTTCATTTTAATATAATTTATGTTAAATAACATCATTTAATTTATATTTTTCTACTTTTAATAATTTATTTCATCAATTGTAAAACAATTATCCTAAACCGTTTTAGACTTATAATTAGCACGTGTTACCAAAAAAATGAATGTAAAAAAAAAAAGCTTTTAGCACGTGAACTCGATTGAGTGGATTTTATTTTTTTGAGAAATTTCTACCGTACCCATCAAAATTTAATAGTTTTGAAACTACCAACTTTTTAGACCGTCGATATTTAATGTTCTCCATGTTATAATTTTACTTTTTGGTAATAAAATTATTGATATGTTCATTTAAAAAAATTATTATCAAGTTTTTAATTCAAATGTTTTTAATTTATAATACTACATAATGAAATAGATTACTCATAAGATTGACTTTTTTTTCCAACCAAAATAAAATTACAGTTTTTAATGTATAATTATACAGTTATTTTGTTAAACTACATAACACTTGAACTTGCATTCATTTTCTGATTGAACATCTATTATATGATTCTTGATAAATTGCTAAAGAAATAATCTGAGAATAAACGAAAACAAAAGCACATTATGCACGTAACATAAAAAGATTATTCTAAACTTATTATTATTCTAAATTTTCAATGAATCATAGAACCTTGAGAACATAAGAACTAATTATATTATTTTAAAAAAATAATTAATTATATTTTTATTAGTCTTAAAAAGATTGTTTCAAAACTTATCAATTTAGGTACTGTAGTCTTTATTTTTTATTTTAGCTTTTACTCATTATTGAGAGGGCCATGTGATTCAATTATTTATTGATTTTAATTAAATCACCTATTATAATAAAATTGGTGGAATGATTCTATTTCCAAGCTGCACTTTGATGTTTGGGATAGAACAACTCTACAGAGACATTGCTTCTGTTGTGAAGAGGGAATCCTTGCCTACCTCTAATGGCACACAGGAATCAGATGTTTCAGGTAAATTTGTTGGCTAAAATTTTTAAGGGGTATATAGGGTAATATAATACATAAAATCATGGACCCTGATTTTTCCTCCCTCCCCAACGGATTGACTATTTTGTTTTTTTAATCTCACATACATTTGAATGAAATTATAAATCTATTCATTAATTTGGTAACAATTCCCTACATCAAAAAAATATTTATTATTTTTTATTTAAATAATAAATTAAAGTGAAAAATAAATTTCAGTTTTTGTTCCTTTTTTTTTTCCTCCGACCACCGTTGATCATTGCAAACACTGTTCTTGCATATGATGTGATTCTTTTCACACTAAGATAATTAATTAATAGTGCTACGGTAATTTTATTTTATTTTTTGGTTGAATGCATGTCATCAATCTAATATACAGTTAATTTCGGTCAGCTTTTCTATTTTACTACTTTTCATGTTATCCAAAACAAGAAGTACCAGTACATTTGTGTGGAAATGAAAAATAATTTAATCAGCTTTGGCAGAAAAGGAACATATATTGCCCCTAGAATTTGACCTTGTATATAACCAGTCGCGTGTAAGACTAAGGTAGATATATTTAATTCATCTCTGACCATGATTAACATATTAAACAAGGTTCACTTCATTTCTTAGTATAAAAAAGGTTCACTTTGTACCAAGAAAATAAAAATACCAATCACTAACAGTAACGATTTAGTATTTAATTAGCCTATGTGGTAGAGTTTTTTCTAATGAAAATGAATTTATTAGATATTGATCGTTATAACCTCAAGCATGTGATTCAGTGGTAGGGGTTAATCCATGTTTAAGTAAGGTCAGGGGTATCACACCCTTTAAGGTGCCTCCAACGTAGCAAGGTGTCATTTTTTCTAAGTATTATATATCATTCAATAATTTTATATTAAATGAATTTTATAAATTTAATTAATAGATTGAAAGTTTTTTACTCTTAGATCATATATACAAAATTTTATATAATTCAAGATGATTTGTATCCTTTCTTGTCACTTCTTCACATGATATATATATTTTAGTTGACTTTATATTTTTTTCTTTAGTAGTTATATATCTACCAAATAAGTAATGTTTAGATAATTTTCTGAAAAGTCAAATATTTTTAACTTTGGAGTTATGGTTTTAGAAATTATTATAGCTAGGAAAAAAGAACTTAAGTTATTGTGAATCACAAGATAATCTCATGAGCTATGTGAATATAATAATTAATCTTTCTAATTAATGCTCATACTTACAATGTAAATTAAATTAACTTAATTAAATGTTGAGAAAAAAATAAATTTGGATGTTTAATTTTATAAATTATTGCAGGTTTGGAGACAATGGAAAGATTAAACACCATTGAACATATTGGACCCAAATTTAAAACAAAATTATTTTTAAATTGAAGTGATCAAGTGTATTCAAATTAAATTGTCTTGTTAAGTGTTCAAGAAAATTAAGATATTAGACTTACAATAACAAAAGTTGTTTCATATCTTAAGTCATACACTTGAATTACCATCACCACACAAGAACCAATATTTTTCTTGTTGGACAAGATGGATAAAAAAATAGCTACACTAATTTTCTGTTAATGAGATGTTAATAAATACAGTTTATGCTCGTTAATAAATTATTTCCATGTTTGATAACATTTTCTACTTGTGTTTAATACATAAACTTTCATTCAACAAGTATACTCATTTAAACTAGACTCTGTTTAACAAGTTTCCACCACTAGCTTATATAATCTCTCGATCCTAAATTTAGCACTTAAGAAAGTTTCAAATGACTGATATTTTCAACTGCTAATATAATATTACTTTTTTTTTTCAATTTTAATTCCTCATAAAATTTTAACTACTAATTAAAAGTAATGTATTTATTGTGAGAGTGAATTATGTTAGTAAAATTATATATTTATTATTGATCTTAATAGTGTAAAATCTTAAACCACATACAATTTGAGATGAAACAAGTAATGAATAAGCTTCTTTGACTGAAGTAGAGGAATCAGGTCATGACCTTTGTCTTAGTAACTTAGTTATTTTCTTTTTTTCCATACCCGAGTTAAAGAAATGTTTGAGTTGCAAAATCATTGATGATAAAAACTTTAATTTGAATTTTTGAAACTGGAAACCCAAAAATATAATTTTATTGCTCTCTTTAAATCAAAACACTTTAATTTCATGCGACCAAAGTTCTAATCACTATATATTTTTTTCCTAACTAGCATTATATTGAAATGGAGCAAGTGTTACGCTCGTCCTGTTGATACGATAACTGGACTTCTATTTATTTTACTAATAATTTTGATATGCTTTCTAAAATATTAACAATATATCTCATATACTTTATAGTATCTTATATTAGCATGTTTGGAAAAAAATAATGCTCACCATTTTATATTAGTTGTTTTTCAGAAGAAAAAAATTGTTTGTATAAAAAATACTACATGTTTAGAACAATAGGTAAAATTTATAAAACTAATGATTATTTTTTAATATTTTTTTCTAAAATCGATATACTATATTTTTTTTAATATTCAAATGAAATTAAGTATTTCAAAATCATTTTTTAAAAAAATTTAACTAAAATTTATTATGATTATAATTGATTATACATGTACATGATTAATGGAATATTTAAATTTTTACATCTTTCCAAAAACGCATTCTATTGTAAATAAGTGCTTGTATATCTTTTCCACAAATACTTATAAGTAATAAATTAAATAAACAAATTATTTTATTTTATCCTCTCACAAATATTTATAGAACATTTTATCTAAATAATTTTAGCCTATAGGTTTTAGCTTGTGAAATCGATTGAATGAATGTTTTACTCTTTTATTCATTATTGACATGGTCCTGTGTTCCAATGATTTTAATTAATTGACACAGGATAATAATGCTTTGGGGTCCATATCAATGAATACAGGCAAAATGGAAAATAGCCAAGTCAGGTGCCAGTGCTGACTCCACCAGCAACATGAATTGACACCACGATTCGTCCGCACCTGAAGTGAATAATCCACAGAATAGAAGAGAAAGAAAACGCATCCGCTACGTTTCTAATCATAATCTAGTCATATTATGGCATGGCAATTACATTTTTCATTTTTCTCAACTCTTTTAAGCCAGTCAAAGTTTTGCTTTGTTGACTAATACTCGCAAACCTCAATCACGTTCATACACTGCGCCATCTCTGATTACTCCCCTTTTACGCATATTTGCATGCCGTCACTCATTTCTCCGTCTCAGTGCACAAATGTTGCAGCGTTACAGAATCATGATTGCCAAGTCCAAAAAGAGTCTAATACCCTTCCTACTTTGCATTCTTTTTCTCACCGTTACAGAAACCTCAGCATCAGTGTTCAACAACGTTAGCTGCACCAGCAACAACACTTTCACTCCCAACAGCGCCTTCAGCGCCAACCTCAACACCCTTCTCTCTTCCCTTTCCTCCAACGCCACCAACAGCGTTAGGTTCTTCAACGCAACAGCAGGGGAGGATTCTAACACCGTCTATGGCCTCTACATGTGCCGTGGAGACGTGCCGTTTGCTCTATGCAGAGAGTGTGTGGGTTTCGCTACGCAAACCATAGCGTCGTCGTGTCCCGCGGCAAAAGAAGCTGTGATTTGGTTCAACGAGTGTTTGTTGCGCTACTCTTATAGGTTATTCTTCTCCAAAATGGAAGAGTGGCCGAGGTACCAGATCAAGATCCCGTTGGGGGATCCTGTGGTTTTGCACAGTGTTGGCTTCTACACTGCGTTAGGTTCCATTTTCAGTGAACTATCACATGCAGCGGCACTGGCTCTCGGAGAGTCTAATAATCCATACGCTGTTAAGCAAGAAAACGCTTCTGCGAGTGTTACCCTTTATGGCCTCGCTCAGTGCACGCCGGACTTGTCCGCCGGCGACTGCAAACGGTGTGTGGCCGACGCGGCGGCGGGATTCGCCAAGTCCTGTTGCGGAGGGAGCATAGGGGCGAGTGTTCTGTTTCCCAGTTGCATTGTGCGGTATGAAACGTACCCGTTTTATCAGCACTCCGGAATCTCTGCGCCGACAATGGTTAAGGGTACGTAAGTTTCTTTTCTTTTCCTTGTCCAATGAAAAAATGTTGGATTCAAGTTGCTTTTCTTTACAATAGGCATTGGTTTAAAGGAAAGTGAGAGAATATAACCAACAGGAAAGAGAGAGAAAGAAAGATTTTTTAAAGGAAAGAAGCAAAGTTTAAACTGTGGTGGCGGCTACGAGTGATTCTTGAAGTTGTCAGAAATTGTAAATAAATGTGGTGGATCGTGGATGCAATTGTGATTAATTGCGATGTAGTTGGAGCCAAGATCACTCTAAAAATTTTGATTTTGTTGTCATAAAATACGGTTACATATATGTTTTTTAAAACCTTTGAAAAGAATAAAAGGAAACAAAATTACCTTATTAATTTGATTTCTAATAAAAAAAAGATCATCTATGAATTGTTTAAGACAGTGTGGGAGGATGAACATAAGACTAGAATAAGTTTCAATTCCTAGCAAATATAATTCACGCATTATTAATATTTGTTGATTAAAAAAAATAATGATCTCTAATTTGAATCATGTATATACATCATAAACATTGGAAAGGAATAACTTTGTCGCCGAGAGAAAGACTTTTGCCCTAATAATAACCATACCTCACTTCAACAATATTGCTTCTCATGAAATATTCACGTGTTCTCTATCAAGGAAGTTTCTAATAAAGTAGAATTTAGTTCACCACGTTTTTACTTGAACTCAATTAATAGAAAACTCTTCATAATAGAAATATTTTGACCCCTCTATTTCCTTTCAAATATTTAAGTTAAACAAATTGTTTATAAAAAGAAAAACTCTTTCTCTCCTCATTTTTCCTTCCAAATAAAACACTCTGTAAATTGCGTAATACAAAAGAGAGAAGATCTTGTTTAATGAGTAGCGTAAGCATGAATATCAGACAGTGACTTGGAATAATCAGCATTTTTCTACGATCTTTGCTATATCAAGCGTGATCGTTTGTTCATTAATTTACCACTTAAAAAAACTTTAAAATGCGTTGATCGCGTGTGGTTTGTTAATATATGACATGTTTTGACAGGTAAATCAAATATTGGAACTGAAGTGATTGCGATCGTTATTGTCTTGGTTATCGTTTTGATGATGATTTTTTGCTCTGGCTATGGTTTCATCTGGATAAAAGCAAGAAAGAAACGCAAGGCCAGTGTCAGAGAAAACTGTAATGTCAATAAACCTATTATAAACAATATTTCAGCTTAATAGAAAATCCTTGAGTTTTTATTTTTTATTTTTTTATCAACTTTTCCTTTCTGTGAATTGTTATGTAGTTGAGCCAGAAATAAAAACTACCTTGGAGTCCTTGGAATTTGATTTGGCTACAATTGAAGCTGCGACAAACAAGTTTTCTGAAGACCGCAGGATCGGCAAAGGGGGTTACGGAGAAGTCTACAAGGTAACATAAATGTGATGATTAATATATGTATCATCCATTATTGATTTTTTTTTTTTTTTTTTGTAATTTTTCTGTTGGCATGGTAATTTTAGGGAATCCTTCCTGACGGAGAAGAAATAGCCGTAAAGAGATTGTCAACAAGTTCTCGGCAAGGAATGGAGGAATTCAAAAACGAAGTGTTGTTAATAGCTAAACTTCAACACAAAAATTTGGTGAGATTAATAGGATTTTGTCAAGAAGACCAGGAGAAACTACTTATCTATGAATATGTCCCTAACAAGAGCCTTGATCACTTCCTATTTGGTACGTTTGCCACATCAATATATATTTCTTCTTTTTATGCTATAACATATGGAAAACTTGGAATTATATATGTAGCTGATCATAAGACAAGAGGCCACTTATACTTTTCTCATGTAGTTTGGCTGATGGCATTTTATAGATTCCCAGAAGCGAAGACAATTAACTTGGTCAGAGCGATATAAAATCATAAAAGGAATTGCAAGAGGAATTCTTTATCTTCATGAAGATTCTCGTCTTAAGATTATACACCGTGATATCAAGCCGAGCAATGTTCTATTGGACAATGACATCAATCCAAAAATATCTGATTTTGGAATGGCAAGGATGGTAGCTACGGACCAAATTCAAGGATGTACCAATAGAGTTGTGGGCACATAGTGAGTTGCAAACCTTACCTTTACCACCCTTATATTATTATCTATGTGCTTCATTATTTATTATCATAAAAAATGTGGTATGTTCTGAATATATTATGCCGCCTATCATCACTTAATTTGGTTCTGGAAGTGAAAGTAATTAATACTGACAATATGTGTCACCTTCATGGCATTCAAATATATTACTCTGACTTTGGATGGCAAGCATGCTGCCTGTGCTTCAGTCCAGAGATGCTTAATTAATATTGTCGGAACTTACTGAGTTTCAAATACGTACAATGTGATATGCCTCTACTAATTTTACTTGGGTTAACGTGTCAACCTATTCTCCATTTGCATTACTAGTCTAGTTATATATAATCTGGATGCTAACTGCTAAGTATTTTTTCTCCTCTTTTTCAGTGGTTACATGTCTCCTGAATATGCAATGCATGGACAATTTTCTGAAAAATCTGATGTATTCAGTTTTGGGGTTATGATTCTTGAGATTATCAGTGGAAAGAAGAATTCATGTTCTTTTGAATCATGTCGCGTTGATGATCTCTTGAGTTATGTGAGTATCAAATTTGTGTTTGTTCTCTTATTCTTTGTATGAGATTCCTCTGCTTTTGTATTTTTCTCGCCATGGCCTCTACTGGACCATAGTTAAGAGACATTAATACAAATTAAGAAGGCAATAATAATAGGCCATTCAATTTATGGTTTCAGGCATGGAGTCAATGGAGGGATGAATCACCATTTGAATTGCTGGATCCAATTCTGCTAGAATCTTATAGTCCAAACGAAGTTGAAAAGTGTATACAGATTGGTTTATTGTGTGTGCAAGAAAATCCAGATGATAGGCCTAGAATGGGAACCATTATTTCATATCTTAGCAACCCTTCAATTGAAATGCCATTCCCTCTAGAACCAGCATTTTTCATGCATGGCAGAATGAGAAGACATTCAGCCGAACATAAATCATCTTCAGGTTACTCCACCAATCATTCTTTCTCCTCCTCTGTAAATAAGATGTCTACATCTATTTTCTTCCCTCGATAGTTGTTACATGTTATATATCAAATTAAAGTGAAGAAAATATCAAATATATTATGTTTTAAAATATTGACTATTTGACTTTTTTGTTTATGAAATATTAAAAGATGAGGATATCATAAAATGATTATGTGATAATCTCTCAATTTCTTTTTCTATAAATACTGACGCATATTTTATTTATTAAAGTAAGCTTAACGACTTCATAGAAGGAACTAAATGTATTAATTTGAGACAAGATTGATAATTTTAAACGAAAAATAATGATAAATTATTTACGATAATTACAGAATTTAGCCTAAAAAAATATTGGAAAGAATTGATGGGCTGGAGACAAACGTTCAAACGTGGCTTGCGGCATACTACGTAGGTTGAATTAATTACATGAAGAAATTTTAAGTGAAGGCGGTTTTAAAGAAGCCACCTATCTTTGACAATTCCTTGGTCATTGGATGCGTACGTCTTCACGTTGACCCATACCAGCGAGGGAGGTTAGCTATATTCTTTCGCGTTTTTTAACACTTAATTATTTTAGTTAGTGGAACTTACATAATTTAAAAATATTTTATACTTTGCTTAACTGGATTAAATAACTCACTTTTCAAAACAAATTTTAATGCATGTTTTCTCAATTTGTAAGACTTAAAACTTCTTTATTAAGAACAACCAATATTTAATCGCTCAAATCAATAGATGTATAGTATTCTCTCATATAATAATATCTAGGCTAAAACTCTATTTTGTTCCCTTATAATTTTTTTTTGTTTCAATTTAGTCCTTCATTAATTTTTGGTCTCAAATTGGTCCCAAATTAATTAATTAATTTTAATTTAGTCCCAAATTAATTAATTAGTTTCAATGTGGGACTTCCGTCCAAATTATTTAAACGGAGTTAACTTTTGGCCACATACGTGACATCCACGTGGATGAGAAAATTCTTTTCAATACACCTGGACCCGGAACGGCCCGTTCTGAAATCGGAACAGGTCGTTCTGGTTGCAGAATTAAAACACCACCAGTGAAGCAGAATGGGACGTTCTGAAATCAGAACGGGTCGTTCTGCTTTCAAAACAGGCCGTTCTGAAATCAGAACGGGCCGTTCTGGTTTTAGTACGGCCCGTTCCAGAACTGTGAATAAAATATTCTTTAGTTAATTGTGTTTTTGATATTATAATTATGCAATTTTGATCTCTAAGGTTTTAATCGAGTAATTTCAGTCCTTAAAAGATTATAATTGTGTAATTTTAGTCTCATAATTTTTAATTGAACAATTTTAATCTCTCAAATATCATAATTATGGAATTTTAGTCTTTCTCATTAAAAATTTAATAATTTTAAAATTTTAATATATATATATAATGTTTTAAAACTATATAATTGTTTGTTTATTTAAATTAACGTATATTATTTTTTTTAATATATCAAATGATATATATTTACTATTACTAAATAAATAAAATTTATATATTATTAGTATTTTAATATTACTGATAAATTAATATCAATAATATTTTTACCCTTTTTATAAATAAACTAATAATTTGATAAATATAACTTAATATATATTAATATACTTTTACAAAAATATAAATATATAAGATCAGATATATATTTCTAATTAATATACTTATATTTTTGTAAAAGTATATTAATATATAACAAGTTATATTTATCAAATTATTAGTTTATCTATAAATATATTAATAATATTATTGATATAATATCGAAAATTATAATATACGTTAATTTGAATAGATAAATAATTATTTAATTTTAAAACATTATATATATATATATATAAATTATTAATTTTTAATGAGAGAAACAAAAATCATACTATTATGATATTCGAGGGACTAAAATTGTTCAATTAAAAATTGAAGGACCAAAATCGCGCAATTGCAATTCTTTAAGGACTAAAATTATGCAATTAAAATCTTGGAGATCACAAAACTGCACAATTGTAATACTTGAGGGATAAAAAATGCAATTAAACCAATATTCTTAATTAATTTTATTAAAAAATATAATAATTAATAAGATAAAAGGAATATCACTTTATAATTTTTTGCAACTTATTTAAGATTAAAGGAATAAAATGATAAAAATTAATAAGATAAACATAATAAAATAAAATATAAAAAAAAATTTAATATATTTATTTTATTGGATATAATAACATAATTAAAATATAATTAATAATATATATTTTATAAAATTATTAATATTTTATATATAAAAAAATAAAATAAAACCGGAACGGCCCGTTCTGAAACTGGAACGGGCCGTTCTGGTGCATTTTGGGTGTGTTAATTTTGCACTTGGAACGGGCCGTTCCGGATGCAAAATTAACACACCAAAAGTGCACCCAGAATGGCCCGTTCCGGTTTCAGAACGGGCCGTTCTGGGTCCAAGTGTTTTCAAAAAAATTCTCATCCACGTGGATGCTACGTATGCATCTACGTGGGGTCCACGTGACTAAATGTTAACACCGTTAAAGCAATTTGGACGGAAAGTCCCACATTGAAACCAATTAATTAATTTAGGACTAAATTGAAACCAATTAATTAGTTTGGGACCAAATTGAGACAAAAAATTAATAAGGGACTAAATTGAAACAAAAAAAAATTATAAGGGACTAAAATAGGGTTTTAGCCTAATATCTAAACTTTTTTATTCATTTTTAGTTTAAAAAATAATAATAAACTTATTTAAAAGGAAAGTGTAGGAAAAGATATAAAAGGAGGCATAAGAATAAACAAAAGAAGAAAAAGACAAACCTCCAGCCCAAATGAAAGCATTTACTCATATCCACACCACACTTACAACAAACGAAATAATGGGTCCCAGATTATGATGCAGCAATCACAAGTGTAATGAAACAGGGATATTCATCCACTGCTTGACTTCGGCTGTGAAGCACTTGGAAAAGGGCTAATTGAGCACAAAATGGTCATTTTATAAAATATTTATCAAAATGGGACAAATTTGAAACTATTTACTAGTTAAATTTTCCTTTTCTATGTTAGACAATATTTTTTAAATTTTTTTAATGTTAGAAAAAATCTTATTTTTACCTGTGCGTTATATGAAAAGTTTCCACATGACCATACATGAAACTTTTCTATGTTAAAAGGGCGTTTTCTATGTTTTTAATAAGTTTTTCAATAAAATTTTGGGTTCGAGTATTGTATGTAGATTTTTTATTAATTTTTACTCTTTTTTTAAGTAATTGTACACTACCACTTTTACAAAAAGATGCCACTATTTTTATTTAAAATAAAATTTATAAAATATCTTAATTCCACTAATATCTATAACATAGTTAATATACGTATACATAGTAGTGTTTCAAGAAGACATTGACAATGAAATTTTCTACATAACCCATACGTTAAAGTTACGTGGTTTTTTTTATACTCTCAGTCGAGGATCCTTTTTCCACCAGAGTTTTCATTGCTGACATAATAATGTATTTATTTTGTCTCAGTCGAAAACTTATATTTTGACTAGCGTTTTCACGGTGTCTGGTAGTAGAAGAGACAAAACAACGTGAAAGTATAAAAAGCCGAGGCAGATGATAAACACACCTCCACTCTCGTATAAGCACATCCCCTTTTTTAAAAAATATATATAAAATGTTTAAATTACCCTTAAAAAAAATAAATTTTCTAAATTTACACCTCCTTCCCCACACTCCCCGTACCCTGCACCCCCCTTCCCCGCACTCCCACACTCCCAAAACCTACACACTTCAATGTCATTGATTGTCAATTATACTATAGAACCAGAACATCGAATCATGAATCCAATAAAAAATTAATATATCTCATTCTCAAATCAAAATAAAAACAATGAATGCCTATCAACTGAAATCATAAAAAACAAACAAAACACACGAAACCATATTCAAACAAGAACTACTCACATACAACTTTAATCCATATCTTCTGGAAAATTCCTCCATCTCCTTTCCCCGCTGTCGTGCGCAGACCCACCTGCATCAAAAGGATTCCCCAGATATATTCTAAAAGTCCTGTGAACAGGCCTGTTACTCCCCCTTGCACCTGCACCGCCATTGTCGCTGCCACCACTATCTCTCCCACTGGACCTCGACCCATCATCGGCGTTCCCCTGCGTCCGATTCTCGTAATCGGCGTCGTCCGTGGGCAATTCGTACTGGCACACGGGGCAAGAGTTGTGCAGGCGAAGCCAGGGAATCAAGCAATCACCGTGGTACACGTGCTTGCAGGGCATTTGCATCACATGCGACCCCTTCTCGAACTCTCCTGGCAAACCGCACACTGGTTCAGCTCCGAGTTCAGCATGTCTTCGTCGACGGTGACGGTGGGGAGGTTCTTGACGACGTCCTTGGCGGCAGGCGGCGTGCCATAGCGGTTGGGGTCGTTGTCGGCGAGCTGCTGCATCAACTGCTCGAAGCCGGGGCCGGGGGTGCGGAAAAGGGGTGTAAATTTAGGAATTTTATTTTTTTAAAGGGTAATTTAGACATTATATATATATTTTTTTAAAAAAGGGGTGTACTTATATGAGAGTGGAGGTGTGTTTATCATCAGCCAAAAGACGATGTTACAGGCCCAAACACAGGCCACTACACTACGAGGCCCAAGCGACATACCCGCAAGCCTTTATGTCTCGGGACTCATGATATATACACCTCCTTTTTTTAATAAGTACACCTTCTTTATTTTTTAAAAAAATTTATAAAATATTATGTTTTTTTTATAAAAAAAATTAATTTTATATCTTTAATTTTTAATTTACTACTTTCTTCTTTTTTTTCACATATTTTTTTTCTCTTTTAGTTTTCACATGCTACCAAAATAGGTGAGGTGAATGAAAGGTAAATTGAAAAAAAAAAGAGAAAATATGTGAAAAAAAATTAAATTAAATATTATGGATGTAAAATTAAAAAATACAAAATACAAAATTAAAAAAAATTAAGAATATTTTAATTTTTTATTTTTTTTTTTAAAAAAGAGGTGTACTTATATAAAAAAGGAGGTGTATATATCATAAACCATGTCTCGGTGATTATAATTACAATGGATGTCTCTTAAAGGCCCGTTACGATAACTCTCTTCTCCCCAGTTTATGTAAACCTGTAGGGTGCAGATGATGTCTCTTAAAATTAGGGTTACACCTACTTGTATATAAGCTGGATGGATATTTGAAATGAGACATAAGATGAATCAATTTTACCATTTTATTTCTTTATTTTTGTTAGTATAGTAGCATAACCCTATGAGAAGAATAGGAAAAGGCTGCAAAAAAGAAAAAAAAATTATGATTAAACAGTGTATCTTGTTTCTATGTCAACTAGGCGTGAGCAGAAATTTCGGCCTCGACCGAATCCGAAGTCTCCGTAGGTGAGTTTTTAAGTGCGGCCGGTTTTTGACGGTTTTTCCAGTTTTTTGGGTTGTTAGAGTCGGTTTGTAATGGGTTTTGTTGGTCGGGTTCGGGTTAAAAAATTTGAACCCGTGGATATCCATACCCGACCCACCCAAAACACTTAAAAGATATAATATTTATTCTTTTAAAGGTAGCAGTAGCACTGCGAGACGACAGGAAAACCCTAAGCGCTGCTGCTCACGCGAAACCTTCTCTTCTGCTCAGAAACCCTAACCGCCGCTCATCCTCATCACTGAGAGTGCTTTGTTGTTGTTGTTGTTGGGGTTGTTTGGTCTTGGATGAAGAATAGTTAGGGTAGCCATGTTTGATCGATTGGTGCTGAAGGTGTGGATGGTGCGGATCAGTGTCATGATGGGTGGCATAGGGTACCATTTGGGGATGGTGTGGCAAATTGTGAGGGTTTTCAACTCCTACCAAGGCAGAGAACATTCCATTGGGTTCCATCAACAAACACCTTCAAGTCAAGTTTTGAAGCAAAAGGAAGGAACTTTGAATGAAAGGCACTTACCCTTAATCGAATAGTTGAAGAAATCGGAAAGGGTGGCGATGGAGGAGGACATGAATATGGATGAAGGAATTGTGAGAGAGAAGAAAAAAATAAAAAATATAAATATTGGGCCCAATATGGCCCAATCCCACTAACCCGATCCAATTAACCGAGACCCGAAAACCCGAACCCGACAAACCCGAAACACTATTCACGGTTGAAAATGGTTTTTTTTTTTTTTTGATCGGTTTGGATTGGGCTTAATAATTTCAACCTAAATCCGTCCGAACCCGCCCCTTGCTCATGCCTATGTCCAACAATATGACTTTCTATATGTGCTATATAAGGAGGATTAATTTAATCAAACTTGTAATTAGAAGTTCTTTTTTGTGGTATTTTGAGTAAACATGAAATGGTTAAATAAAAAAACTAAGTAGGAAAACGTATGAATTAGCATTGTCGTGATTACACGAAGCATATAAGTCATATTACTTTAAACATTAGGAGAAATAATTAACAAAAATTGATTCTAAAAAAAAAAAATTCCGGATAACGAAAGAACAAAAGCTTGACTTGCTTCATTGACTTCAGTTGAGATGTGCCACAAGAAAGTAATTGAACTTGTAATTATGATGCATGACATTCACCCAACTTTTGCATTTTTTATAAACAAAACAAGAAACTGCAGTACAAGACTAACAAATTCACACTATGGCCTTATTTTCCTTCAACCATCTTCTCCTCTTCACGTTTCTTATCTTTACTCTTACTGAAGCATCATCCGTAGATGTCCCTATATTCCTTCGCGAAAACTGCACAACCGACGAAACCTTCACCGCTAACACCATTTTCCAACTCAACCTCAGGACCCTCTTTTCTTCCCTATCTTCCAACGCCACCGGTAACACCGAATTCTACAACACCACCGTCTCATAAATAATTTATTATTTTTTTACCTCAATAATTAAATTTGAAGTTTTCCGGTAGTTCATGGCATAAAAAATATTCATTTATTTAATTATAAACTACTCTATCCTGTATAAGATACTGAGTTTCATTTTTAGTTATATAGCGATTTTTTGAATATTAAAAACCCATAACGATTGAGCGTTAAAGATGTTCTAGGTAATAGAAGAGTAGGAAATAAAAATAACTTTGAAGTTTTTACAGATAAGCGCAAAGATCAAGTTTATATTTTTCTGTTTTTCTTTGCTTTATAGGTGTCAAATAAATTGTTTGCGTGTCTAATAATCATTTTTGTAAATATATAGCATTAGTCTTACTCTTATCTTTATGTTGAAAGAAAAGGTCAAAATAGAAATGGAAATCCGTGAGGAAACGGGAATATATATGAGCACGATCATAAGTCTTCCGAGAATGGCTATCGGGTGTTATTTTCCTATTAATAGGGGGAAAAATGGATTGGGTGCAGAACTATCAATTTGGACCCATCTGGGTGGAAAAAAAAAATTTGGATTTTGGAAAACTTGGTGACTTTTAAAAATAATATTCAAATATGCCTAATGTTTCTGTTGTCTAATTCAACGTTGTCCTCGTTCCAGTCAAAACGCATCCAACAGATTTTCATGCGACTTTAGGTCAGCAATTATTTGTGTTCCACGTATTTACGATTTTATAATTTTCTTTAAAATGTGACACACATATTAATGATTTATACAATAATTTGTATATAATTTTTTTAATATTTTTTTGTCACATTATTTATTATATCTCAAAATTTTCTTTCTTAATTGAACATGTATATTGTTGCTTTTGACTTTAAGAAAATGATTTCAACATAGTAATATGCTATATATATAATTATTATTATAATATATTATTAGTACAAAATATCTATTAATTTTATTGATAATTAATTGTTTTTTCAAAGAATCTAATTGACAATTATCTTTAATAGAATTTTCTCTCCTAACTAAATTTTTTTATCTGTAAAATTCAAATTCTGTACTTTTTAAAGAAAATTTTAGTCTAATTTCACTCAAACCAACATGTTAGTATGTAATTATAATATTATGCAAGCGTAATTTTTTTATATTATTAATTAATTAAAAACTATCTTGAATATAATTTTTAAAAATTATTATGATATATATGATAGTTTATAATAATTGATAATATATTTTTTTAATTAAGATTCATTAATGGTTTTTTTTCTACTCTCTTATCTAATTACATATTACAATATGTAATAAGTTTATTAATTTTTATAATAATTATTTTAAAAATCATCTCAAAAACATTTTCTGATTAATTAGTTGATAACATAAACTTTTTTACACTAATTACATAATAATTAAAATCACGTGAAGAAATTTTATTGTTATAATTGAATTTTAATTACATTCGGTCTTATTAACAATCGTTAGAACATTTATTAAAAAAATTAAACAAAAATGAGGAGATTTTATATCTTGAAAATTTATTTTTAAATCTTTAACCAACATTCTGAAATAATTAACTAACTTCTGTAATCGTTGTCAAAAATTCAGATTGTTTTTTTAATCTGAAAGGGATTTAAGTGAAAAACAACATACAAGATTGACAAGATTTGGCTTGGCTTGCTTCATTGACCGCCAAACTCTTTGGTGTCCTTCCTTTCATTGCCTGCCAAACTATGTGTCACGAAGGGAAATCAAAGTGTGTGCAAATTTAAAGTCACAGGCACGCACTTGTCCTCGTAAAATAACAAATGTCAACAAAACTATAAACTCAAATTAAACATTCATATCCAACTACCGTATCGTAGTACTCTGATATGAGATTATTAACACTCTAACAGACGCATCAAATCGATCATGTCTAGGAATTGCTTGAAGCTCCTCTTTCTCTTTGTCCTCAGTTTGGCAACAACTAAGGCACAGGGTCCAACTTTTCTTTACCAGGATTGCTCAAGCAACGGAACCACAGCCAACAGCACCTTCCAATTAAACCTCAGGACCCTCTTCTCTTCACTCTCTTCCAACGCCACCGCCAACAACGAATTCCACAACACCACAGTCGCAGGAACAAACCCCTCCGACACACTCTATGGACTTTTCATGTGCAGAGGTGACGTCTCATTTCAGCAGTGTGGACAGTGCGTCGAAAACGCCACACAGAAACTATCATCAGACACCAAGTGCTCCCTGTCCAAACACGCCGTCATCTGGTACGACGAGTGCATGGTTCGCTATTCCAACCGCTCCTTTTTCTCCACCGTAGACACAACTCCTACTGTTGGCCTTTCAAACACCGCCAATATCTCAAACCAAGCAAGCTTCATGCGTTTGATGTTCGACACCATGAACCAAACAGCAGATGAAGCAGCCACTTCTCCTATTGGTGCCAAGAAATACGCCACCAATCAAGCAAACATATCAGGTTTTCAGACCCTTTATTGTTTGGTTCAGTGCACGCAGGACTTGTCACCACAAGATTGCAGAAGTTGTCTTAGTGTTGCCATAGGGCAACTTTCATGGTGCTGTGAAGGGAAACAGGGAGGGAGAATTCTAAATCCTAGCTGTAATGTTAGGTATGATTTGTACCCTTTTTATCGCACAAACACCACTCCACCATCAGCCTCTCTTCCTCCAACTCCAACCACTTCTTCCAACTCCGGAGGTAATCTAATAATATATATGATTCACAATTTCATGTTTTAGTTATATTTGGATTCATCAAAAGGTAGAATGGAACGGAATGAAATATAATGCAACAAGGTTTCCTCATTTTGAAAATACAGAAAGTGGTGGGATCTCATCGGGGACAATTGTTGCAATTGTGGTTCCAATTACTGTGGTTGTGTTGCTATTTATTGCTGGCATTTGGCTCTTAAGTAAAAGAGCAGCAAAGAAGCATGACTCTGCGCAAGACCCAAAAAGTAAGTACTAAATTGAAAAGATATTGACTTTGCTTGTTCTTAGATGCACATTTTGCTATTATAATTTTATCTAATAGACATGCCGTTTGGCTTCTTAGCTGGAACTGAGATCAGTGCAGTGGAATCCTTGAGATTTGATTTCAGTACAATTGAAGCAGCCACAAATAAATTCTCTGATGCTAACAAGCTAGGTCAAGGTGGATTTGGTGACGTTTACAAGGTATGAAGTTAGCACGATATTGTTTCTTTATTAATAACTAGCACATTATACCGATTTCTGTGCAAGCCATTTAATTTTTGTGCAAAAATTCAGGGCTTGCTCCCAAGTGGACAAGAAGTAGCTGTCAAGAGACTCTCTAAAAACTCTGGACAAGGTGGAGTGGAATTTAAGAATGAAGTAGAGGTGGTTGCAAAGCTTCAACACAGAAATTTGGTGAGGCTTCTAGGATTTTGCTTGGAAGGAGAAGAAAAGATACTTATTTACGAATTTGTAGCCAACAAAAGCCTTGACTATATTCTTTTTGGTAGGTTCATCTTATTCCTGCTTTAATTTTTAGTTTCCAGAATTTGTCTGAATTACTATTTATATGAGACCATACTCAAGGAGGCTATGCATAATTAACATGATACAATTCAGCATTTCATTAACTGAACATTAACCACAAGTAAAATTGTATGGAAGTTGATTCTTAGACATGATTTTACGTTCCATTAAACTGATTAACTTTATATGAGTTTTTTCTCATGAATTGTTTATATCGTTCAATGTGCAGATCATGAAAAGCAAAGATCATTGGATTGGACAAGGCGTTACAAAATTATTGGAGGAATTGCTCGAGGCATTCAATATCTTCATGAAGATTCTAGGCTTAAAATTATACATCGTGATCTTAAAACTAGCAATGTTTTGTTGGATGGAGATATGAATCCAAAAATCTCAGATTTTGGCATGGCAAGAATATTTGGAGTAGATCAAACTCAAGCAAATACCAATAGGATTGTAGGGACATAGTAAGTACAATTTTTTCTATTATCTAGCAGTTGCAGCATTTTTTTGTGAAAGCATGTACTGGTTTCCAATTCAACCAATCTAAATATCATCATTAGTTCAAACATCTTGACAGATTCGAGCAAAAATAAAAAGAAGATTCATTTTTGTCATTCTTTAGACTCTTGCATTTTGTTCCCGATGCTGACAATTCTTTATTGATGGTTGAATGTGTTTTAGTGGTTACATGTCTCCTGAGTATGCAATGCATGGAGAATATTCAGTTAAGTCTGATGTATACAGTTTTGGGGTCCTCATTTTTGAGATTATAAGTGGCAAGAAGAACAACTCTTTTTATGAAACAGACGTTGCTGAGGATCTATTGAGCTATGTGAGTAGAGAGAATATTATATATTTTTAGCTCCTTTGTGCTAATTCACTCATACTGTATAGTGTATATTGTATAGTGATAACATTATAACAAATGGTCGATGAAAATTTGATACAGGCTTGGAAACTGTGGAAGGATGAAGCACCCTTTGAGTTGATGGACCACTCATTAAGAGAATCATATACTCCAAATGAAGTTATCAGATGTATCCATATTGGTTTACTCTGTGTCCAAGAAGATCCAGCAGATAGACCTACAATGGCATCAGTGGTTCTTATGCTTGATAGTTACTCAGTCACTCTACCGGTACCTAATCAGCCTGCATTCTTTGTAAATAGTAAAACTGAACCAAACATGCCAAAGGCGATTAAAATTGACCAGTCTACTACCAATTCAGCAACAAAGTCTGTCAATGAGATGTCGGTTAGTGAATTAGATCCTCGATAAGTATGAAAATGTTACGATGTTTTAAAGAAAAAGCGTATCCGTAGAAAAAAGAAAAAAGCCTTTTTGTGAGTCGTGGCTTCTTATGACAGAAGTACATACTCGACCTTGTAACATGTTGTGATTGTTTATTTTTCAACGTGGAAAAAATATATGCGGGTCGTTTAGTCCGTTTTGTATTTATTGCGTGTGGCACCAGAGTCTTCACTTGATTGTTTTCTGTCCACGAAATGTAAACTTATTCAAGTTTAATGAAGATTGGCGGTATAAGTTGGCAATAAATCAACTTCTAGAATGTAGCCCACATATCATTATGGTTATATATCTACGACTTCTTCAACTAAAGAATAGTGACAACCAATTTGGGTGAAGTATTTATGTGATTTGTTTTAAAATGAAACCTTAAATTCTTGTTCATCCATGAAAAACAACAAATGCAGAGCTAGTCTTATGAAATATGATAGTACTCTACTACTTCAAAGATAAGATTATCTAGAAGTGCATCCACACATAAGACGATGAAATCAAATACTGTCCTGTACTGTCAATTCACTGTTAAGCCGTCAAATTTGACTCAAACTGTTTGCAAAATAAACAACCAATCTCTACCTAAGATATGGAAAATAATCGGCAGACACCAAATATTATTTAATACTTGAGAGGAAAATAAGAGAAGATAGAAAAATGAAAGTTTAATAAATGATATTTTTTTTAACTCAAGTTTAGGTAAATTAAGTTATAAAATTTCTTTTAAGGTTAGGACAAGCTTCAAACTTTAAAGAATACGCATAAATTACTCGCTGGACATTTTTAAATCGTCAACAAGATTGAAACTTGCATCCTTCTAAGATATTAGATATGAACCTGGTATAATAATATGAGAAAAAAAATTATAGGTATGGATAGATATATAGTGGCTGTCTCGGTTTGCATCTTTTTCCACCACCTATTAGTAAAACGATTGGACTTGGAATTTGCTTTTGTTAATGTTTTTATTTCTTGTAAAAGTCCTTCTCACTTTCCATTCCCTAACTCAATGACACACTCTACTTATCTTATTCAATCTCCATCAGGCCTTCTACATATCTAGTGGCTGTCTCTGTTTGCATCCGTCCCACAAACACTAGGTTCTAAAAAAGTAAAGAAAAGACAGAATAAGAAACGTAAAATATCAAAAGACAAAAACAATTGGCAAATTGAAGAAATGTACAACCTCCTACAAATCCTTCTCTAAACCAAGATCAGCAAGATGCCTCCTTCCAACTACTTTGTAATTCACCGGCTTTTCTTCTTCCTCTTTATCTCTTTTATCTTTCCAACGAAAGCAGCTCCAATTTACAGTTCCCATGCCTGCACAGACTCTTCCAAATACCAACAAAACAGCACATTTCAAACCAACCTCAACCTCCTCCTCTCTTCCCTAACCTCCAACGCCACCCATGGCACCCACTTCCACAAAACAACAATCGACAGTGACACCCCCAACGCCGCCGTCAAGGGCCTCTTCCTCTGCCGCGCCGACACCCTCGCCGCCACCTGCCACGCCTGCGTCGCCGCCGCAGCAACGGACCTAAAACGCCGATGCCCGGTTGAGAAAGAGGCAATAATCTGGTACGACGTGTGCATGGTGCGCTACTCAAACCAATACCTCAACAACATAGTACCCTCAGTGACCATCTCCGATTCCGGAAGCGTGGCTCGCGTTGACCTTGACCGCTTCAACGACTTGCTGGCGGGGTTGCTGAATTCTCTGGCAACGAAAGCTGCGAATTACGTGGATGAGAAATTCGCAACAGGGGAAGTGAACTTGACGAGTTCGGTGAGGCTTTATGGGTTGGTGCAGTGCACGCCAGAGTTGTCGTTGTTCGATTGCAACATGTGTTTCAGAAGCGCCATTGCTTCTGTTCCGAATTGCTGTGACGGGAATCGAGGAGCGAGGGTGTTGCTTCCAGGATGCAATATCAGATATGAAGTGTATCCGTTTTACAATAGCACCGAAACATTGGCCCCACCGGTTGCAAACTCTCGTCCTTCAGGTACAGCGTGAATTGTGCTTATTTGTTTTGAGTTCTGACTAGTGAGTGATTGAATTTATTGATGTTTGCTCAGAAAGGAGTCGTGTTGAAGTGATTCTTACATTTGTTATACCTATTGTTGCTGCAATGGTGCTTTTCACGTTTGGGATATGTGCTGTCATGAGAAAGCAAGCTAGGAGTATGATACAATTATGGAGGAAAGCTGATGCTGCAAACGTTGGAGACAATTAGTTATCAGTATTTTAATGGGAAGCCTGAAAATGTAGAGTCTGAGTGAACTATAACTTCAGCGTTAGTTTTTACAAAGTTTTGTTTGTGATTGTGAGATTGGAGTAGCAGGCTAAGCTAGCAGCTGTATCAACAATGTCTATGTTTGCTGTAATTACTTTGCCAGATTGAGTCATTGTTTACATTTTACATGTAAAAAATTAGTTCTTTAGATGTCAACGGAGTGGGTGTGTGGATAGTGAATCTTGATTTATATTACTGAGTATTTATAGATATTTATAAAAAGGTAATTCACATCATATTATATCAACATTGTATGATATTATTATCTCACATCAAAATATTAGGAAATTATAATATATATATATATAATATTTTTGGTTTTTTTATATAAAAAATGAATAAGTAATTCTTTAATAATTAATATATTTAATACTTTTATAATACAATAAAAAAAATTATTTAATATAAAAAATGAGAGAAAATATCGAAGAATTTGTAATGAACAAATATTTGTAGATATATACTATGAAGATTACACTATTGAATGGATGCAACTGCGTAACTGTGATTAGGGATGACAAAAATACCTGCACCTGCGGGTATTTGTGGATAAAATTCGCTACGGATAATAAATAGATAGGCTAATTAAGTACCCGCAGATAATGAGGACGAATAACTTTTTACCCATTTATAAACGGGGCGGGGTGGGTATGATAATATTCATACCGACGGATACCCGTTTAATAATATTTCTTAAATATCCTAATTATCTTTGTACCACGTAACTCTAAAACTACACTCTCTCATCTTATTTTCTTTCCATAGAATTATGTCAGATGTAATTTGATTAATTTTATAGATTTGATTGGACTAATAAGATTTATGCATTTTAAGTTGTTTACTTTCATTTGGAATTATGAGATTGAATTATTGTAATTTTGTAATATGAGACTTTCACTTACTTGTATGAGATTAATGTATTTTAAGTTATTGATTATCTTGCATTTTTATTATTGTTTCAACAAAATTAACATTAAATAAAAGTTCAAGATTAACATTAAATTTTTATTTTTAATATTTAAAATAATATTAAATATAAACTTAAAATTATTTATAATATAATTTTTTAATTTCTTAAAAAATTTATAAATATTCATTGATATCCATGAATATCCATAAATATTCAAGAAATTCATGAATACCCGTTTAATAAATACTCATACAAATAAGAAATAAATATGAGATCAATTTTTAATCAACAAGGTAGAGGGTGGTTTATTATTATCCGCCAATGGCCGGTTGCCATCCGTAACTGTGATACTCGCCCATTACTTAGACGCCGAAACTGACCGTGGGTTCTTTAGTCCTTTCATTTGACTAGTCTCAATTCTTTCTCTATCAAAACATAAAAGATATTTTCTTTAAGTGAACCAGGGAAGGATTGACGTAGACTCACAATAAATATTTTTTGTATAAAATATTTTTTTTTTAAATATAGGTGTTTTTTTCAAATATGACAATAATATTCATTATCTAAATTTGCACTCGACCTAAATAGGTTTAAAATTAGCTATTTTCTTGAAAGTTAGAGTCCCGTAGAAACTCATTTGTAATGAAAAATAATAATAATAAGTTTTTTTGTAAAATAAACGAAGATAAAGACAAATTCATTCATTCTCACGTATTTGGTAGAAAAGAAATAAAATAAGAGGAAAAAAAATAAAAAACAGTAAATGTGTTTAATTAAAAAAGAAATAAGAGAAATAAAAGTGTGTGGAGTTATTAGTGATTTTTACTTATTTTTATAAACTTATTTATTTGTTTGAAATGAAACACCTCTATTTTTGTTTTGTTACCAAAATAGATAATAAAGAGGGAAAAAGAAGAAAAGGCTAAAGTCGAGAGTCGAACCAATTGCATATAAGTGAGTGTTTGACCCATCTCGCATTCTAGTGGTCACTTGCGTCCTCTTCAAGAACAGTGGCTGCATTGACATGGGACAGCGACACGAGTTTGATTCCCGTCAAACTTTTTTTAATAAAACTGTGTCTGTAACACGGTGACACTGTTTAATGATTCATAACTTAACTCGTGTAATACAAATAAAAGTTTGATAAGAATGGGAAGAGCAAAAGGGTTTGGTGTTAAATAGAAGTCTTGATTGAGTTGTATGAGTGAGGGGAAAACTCATCTTCATATCGCCAGAACAAGTGAATCCTGTTGAGAGTTGAGAGATGTGTATTTTCAGAAGCTCTTCAAGGCACTTGTTACTTGTCTCTGTGTTTGTATTGCTGAACTATGCAAGTGAAGCAGCTCCTACATACAGCGCACATGCCTGCACAAGTGGATCCTATTACCGACCCAACACAAGATTCCAAACCAACTTGAACCTCCTCCTCTCGTCCCTCGTCTCCAACGCCACCCTCCACGACGGCTTCTACCGCACCAACATCTCCCTCGGAAACCCCGACGAGGTCAAGGGACTCTTCCTCTGCCGCGGCGACGTCACCACCCCCTCCGTCTGCCACGACTGCGTAGCCGCCGCAGCAAAAAACATCACACAGCTGTGCACCAACCAGACTGAGTCCATAATCTGGTACGACGAATGCACGCTGCGTTACTCCAACCTTTCCTTCCTCAACAACATAGTTCCAAGTGTTAACTTGGAAAACACACAGAGCATCCCTCAATCCGACGCTTCCCGCTTCAACGATCTTCTCGCAGCCACGTTGACCGACGTAGTGCAGGAAGCCGTCAATTCTCTTTCAGGTCACAAGTTTGCTACAAAAGAAGCGGATTTCACGAGCTCCATCAAGTTGTACACACTGGCGGAGTGCACGCCCGATCTGTCCACCTTTGACTGTAACATGTGCCTCTCAGGCGCCAAAAGCTCCCTCGGTAATGGAAAACGTGGTGCACGCTCCCTGCTTCCGTCTTGTAATCTAAGATATGAATTGTACCCTTTTTACAATGCTTCCGCCGTCTCCACTCACCCAGACCTTCCCCCTCCATCTTCAGGTACATCTTAGATACAATACAATTGCTTAGCTCATCTTCTCTTACTAGAATTCAAATTTCATTCCAGTCATTCACATAATAAACATCTAAGTTACTAACTTGAAACTACAGTTATGATAAGACAACTGCACCAAAAGTATTTTGAAAAACTGAATCAAAGTTTTGTCTAGATAATATAACCATGTCAGCTTCTAAATTCCGATGACATCATTTCTGGGGTGTCTTAGAAAGTGACGAACCTGTGCAGGAAAAAGCAGTATCTCTCTAATTGTGGCCATTGTTGTCCCCATTGTTGTTGTGCTTGTTCTTTTCATCGTTGGCGTCTGCTTCCTACGTAAGAGGGCAAGCAAGAAGTATAATACTTTTGTCCAGGATTCAAGTAATCTCTCTTTTCCCGTCAAACTGATTGTTTCGTATAATTTGGTTCCTTTCACTTTGGTTTGATTGCTGATAATTACTGTCTTTCTTTGCTCTGTAGTTGCGGATGATCTCACTGATGTGGAGTCCTTGCAATTTGACTTGGCTACAGTTGAAGCAGCCACAGACAGATTCTCAGATGAGAACAAGATTGGACAGGGTGGATTTGGGGTAGTTTATAAGGTATAAACATGTTTATGCTAAAATAGTAAAATGCTAACACGTCTTTTTTATGCTAAATTAGTTAAGTTGATCTATTCCTGTGCTTGTTTTCAGGGCGTCCTCCCTAATGGACAGGAGATAGCTGTGAAGAGGTTGTCGGTAACCTCCTTGCAGGGTGCAGTAGAGTTCAGGAATGAAGCTGCCCTTGTGGCCAAGCTTCAACATAGAAATTTAGTGAGACTATTGGGATTTTGCTTGGAGGGTCGGGAGAAGATCCTTATCTACGAATACATACCAAATAAAAGTCTTGATCACTTTCTATTTGGTATGCACCTTTTCTTACTCTTCTATTGTGTGACATCTCTATTGATTTCCCTGAACAGACTGATATGAAAACTCAAAGGCAGAATCACTTCATTGTATTCACATGATGTTATTACCTTTTACCTTATTAAAGAACAGCCACGTTGAAAATGGGGTAGTAGTTGTGTATAAACGAAATTGTAGTAACTTTGCTATTGCTAATCTGGATATTTCATTTTGGCAAATTTTGTAGATCCTGTAAAGCAAAGAGAGTTAGATTGGTCAAGACGCTACAAGATTATAGATGGCATTGCTCGAGGAATTCTTTATCTACACGAAGATTCCCAACTTAGAATTATACACCGTGATTTGAAAGCCAGCAATGTTTTATTAGATGAAAATATGAATCCAAAAATTTCAGATTTTGGCATGGCAAAAATTTTCCAGGCAGATCAGGGGCAAGTGAATACAGGAAGGATAGTTGGAACTTAGTAAGTTTGATGTCTTTATGCCGTCTCCTCTTATACAGTGACTTATATTATAACATATAGTCAGTTAAGTTCTGCAGAAAAAAAAAATGATCTTTCCAAAATAGTTATTTCGTCTCTAAAAAAGTGGATTATATGTTTTTCAGTGGTTACATGTCTCCAGAATACGCAATGCGTGGACAGTTCTCTGTGAAATCAGATGTGTTTAGTTTTGGTGTTTTAGTTTTGGAGATTGTGAGTGGCAAAAAGAACACTGACTTTTATCAATCGAATCGGGTTGATGACCTCTTAAAACATGTGAGTATATAAAAGAGTTAATTTTTTTAATTCTTCTCTATTGATACCAACCTTAGCTGCAATGCCGAGCTATGCACTATTTCAGTGGGTGTGGAATGAGATATTCCAAGTTTAAGCACTAACGTTATTCTACCACAGGCTTGGAAGAATTGGACAGAGAAAACACCTTTGGAGTTTCTGGATCCAACTCTGAGAGGCTCTTATTCAAGAAATGAAGTCAACAGATGCATCCATATTGGTTTATTGTGTGTTCAGGAAAATCCATCTGACAGGCCTTCGATGGCCACTATTGCACTTATGCTGAACAGTTATTCAGTTACCATGTCAATGCCACGACAGCCAGCATCTTTTTTGCGTGGAAGAAGCCCTAATAACGGGCTAAACCAAGGGCTTGACTCTGATCAGTCTAGCACTGATCGGTCTACCACCTGTTCAATTCCATGGTCTGTGAATGAAGTATCCATTACTGAAGTATACCCTCGCTAAAGGATTGCTTTTCATGTTTTCTTCAACCAATCCAGTGTAAGTTCTAGTCTTGTCAAACTATGGTGTTACTCTGTTAAATGTAGCTAACGGATATATATTGTAAATATTAATGGCTAAAAGAGTTCTGTCCAGTAATTCATGTCGGATGAACATGTAGATTAGATAAAGCATTTTGGTTATTTTCGTTTGGGGAAGGATTTGCAACAGATTGTACATTTCTGCAATTTCTCAATTGTTTTTTATATTCTATGTAAACTATGTTTCTTGTTTTTTCAAGAAACTAGTATTTTTGGATCAGTTGTAAACAGAGACGGCCACTAGATATCTAGAAGGCCTGACGGGGTTTGAATAGAAAAATGCATAGAGAAGGACTTTTAAAACAAAGGCAAATACTCCAATCGTTTTGTATATAGGTGGTGGAAAATGGAAATAATTATGATGTGCGGACAAATCCCCGTTTGGTTTTGCGGAAAATGACGAAATAAAAAGGTTAATTGTGACCCACCTCACAAGTCCAGTAGAAAGAGAAGAAATATCTTAATTAGTTAGAGAGTGGTTAGTTAATTATTTGGTGAACATTTTGAGTCAAATTTGACGATTTAACTGTAAATTGACACAGGAGGACAGTACTTGATGTGTGGATACCCTTCTCGAACAGCTTATCTTGAAGTAGGAGTAAAATACCATCATAAGACAAACTCTGCATTTTTGTTTTTCTTGGACGGACAAGGAATTAAGGTTTTATTTTAAAGCCAAAATCGTATTCCATGTTCAGGCTAATGAACAAATGGCAAAAATACTTCATAAATATTGGTCGTCGCTATTCTTGAGTTGCAGAAACCTTATTTATATTGCCATAATAGTATGTCGGCTACATTTTAGAAGCTCACAACTTATACCTCCAATCTTTATTAAACTTGCACTAGGTAAAGTTTAAATTTAGCGGAAAGAAACAATCAAGTCGTCTCTCGTGCCACACGCAATAAATACAAAATGGCCTAAACGACCCGAAGATATCTTTTCCACGTTGAAAAATAAACAAGATAGACGAATACACTCTTT